AGTATAAGTTTCCCAAAGACTTATACTCTAAGTACAAGGAACTTGTAGGTATACTACTTTCTTATTAAGTAGATAATTATACCTACCACACTTACTCGTATAGAATTGAAATAGATTTATACGTAGCGGTTTTTACTCGTATAGAATTGAAATAGATTTATAAGTAGCGGTTTTTAGTCGTATAGAATTGAAATAGATTTATACGTAGCGGTTTTTACTCGTATAGAATTGAAATAAGATTTATACGTAGCAACCTTCGTTTGTATGGAATTACAAACATTTATATTTATAATATATAAGACTTATAGGTATATACTTATTTGGTAAGTAAACCATTATACCTAGGATATATATATATATATATATATATATATATATATATATATCTATATATATATATATATATATATATATATATATATATACTAAACGTTGGAGAGTCAAAATGATACTTTCAAAACTATACTTTTGAACTTGGAAAATGTATTATTTTTATATGGAGTCAAAACCTGTGGACTCACCAACTTTATGTTGACGTATTTTTAAAATGCATGTTTTTCAGGAAGTTGATAACTATGATACAAGAAATGACGTTACACCGCCCGGTGTTTCCGCCGACGGTCGGGGTGTGACACAAGTGCCTTGGGAACCCCCCGATGTCTTTACTAAGGATGCCATGGAAACCCTCCAAGGTCTTACAACCAAGTGCCTTTGGGAACCCCGTGAGGTCTTTCATGCAAGTATCACAAATACAGCTAGCATACCACATACCACATAATCAACTAGCATACCATATAGCAAGTAACGGGCCGTCCTTGGTGCCTTCGACCCATTGGTATGGTGAGGAGACTCACCTCACATTGCCGAAGTCCCGCGGATAAAACTCTAGCTGCTGGATGACAGACTCCCAAACTGTCCATATCAAAACAACACCCAATTAACCATTTGGGTTTTAATGCATAACCATAAATCCACACTTAGGGTAAAAGTACCATTTTACCCCTAAGCTCGCTTAGTTCAAACCAAGGCCCAAACTCACACTCTAAAGGCCCAAAAGCCAATAATCAACCAAGGCCCAACATATGGCCCAATTTTCCAAATTGGGCCCAAACCTCTACATGGTGTTATCTTAAGGCCCAACCATTTATTCTAGTCTAAAGACTTGGCATTCCGATGGTCCAATATCTCATAATCATCAAGGCCCAGTTATGGCCCACTTATGGCCCATTTATGGCCCAATTTTCTAAATTGGGCCTAAGCCTTTCCAATGGGCCTTATCCTAAAGCCCAATGATTCCTTAGTCCATAAACCTATTCCTAACTGTCCAACGAAGGCCCACAACAACTTAGTCCAAGAAATGGCCCAACCCGAGGCCCACAATCACGAAATCCAATCTGACTGAGTACGCAGGGCGTACTCAGCTATACACTAAGCGTACAGGCTGTTTGGCTTGTACGTTGCGCATACAGACTTGTACGCCCAGCGTACTACTCCATTAATCTAAATCCTCATTAAGCTCTTAATGCTTGTCCTAATAAATCCAAACCACAAATTTGACTCCCATCTAACGCCTAAACCCATAAAGTCACTGACTTGGTGAATTTGCATGCCCCAAGACACCAAATAGCATTCTACTTTCATGGAAATGGCTCAAACTCCAACATAGATGGTCTTAAACTCTAAAGGTGCCAACTTTATGGACCTTGAACCTCAGAAACACTGAGAGGGGCAACTCAAAGCTCCTGCAATGAAATCAAGACCACTAGTTCTCATACATGGGACCAAAATGAACAAAAAACCATAAATGGTAGATCAAAAACATCAATGATCAAGTTCAAAGCTTTATACCTTCATCAAGCTGGAAATGAGTCACAAAATCAAGATCTATAAGCTTCTCCTTGACACCATCTTTGCATCAAATTCCACCTTCTTGAAAATGGGCCAAATACTCCTATAATGGACTCCATTAGGTCAAAATGCCACCATGAACGATTAAGGACGATTTCTAGGGTTTTAGAGGGTGGGGGCTGACTTAGAATGAAGAAAGAGGCTTAACATTATGCTTATATAGGGCACAACCCTAAGATTAGGGTTTTTCAATCAGACCCTCGTACGCCCAACGTACCTTCTCGTACGCCCCCGCGTACGAGGCCGCCACTACTAGAAAACAGACCTTTAATGACACGCTTTTTATGACACGCACTGATTAATGATACGCAAAAGGGCGTGCCCTAAAAATAATGTCTGATCTTTAGAAATTTGAAGAATTTAGTACGCGCATTTTTGCGTGCCCTAAAATTAGTGTCTCACAAAAAAAACACGGAGGGCGCTTATGTTAAAGGCATGTCGTCTAGAAATGTTGCTTTATTATTTTACAAATGCGCTCTTCAGCAAATAGCAGCGGGAAAAAGGAAATCAAAAAAATTAGAAAACCCGCCTTCCTTCCTTGTTTCCCCTCTTTAGCTCTGGGTGTGTTCTTTGACCACAAAAATATTCTCCGGTCTTCCTCCGCCTCCCTACATCGAGTGTTGCTTGCTTCTTTCCCTTGCACTCCGACCGCCGCCACTGATTCTTCCCCGTTCGTTGACATTGATCAAGGATCACTTACTTCTACCCACTGGAACCACCATATCTCCCACTTGATGTTGAAATTGTTAGAAAAAGCCCTAATTCAGTATTATACTCTCAAGTCTCAATATTAGGAATGCAAATCTTGATTTTCGTTTGTTTCTGATTCTCATTTGTTCTAAGTATCTTTCCGTATTGATGAAAGATTATAGAAGCCCAAAAGCATATACTTGAATTTCTGGAAACATGGGCCCAAACACGAATGTTGCGCTCAAAGGCCGAAGCACTCCACTCCTATATGGAATTGGAAAGCATGATTGTTTTCTGTTAGAAACTACATCGGAATCTCCATCTGGAAACCCTCCAACATCATTTGCTGGAACAAGATTCCATTCTTCTCTTTAGGTACCCATATGCTCTTGCTCGATTTTCGTTCTACCCTTTCTGGTTCTTTTCGGGTTTTGATGCTCATGCTCTTCACAAACATGTCTTTGATTTTTCAATCGCCTGCAACTCTTTCAACTGTTCAAAACCATAGTTTCTCTCTCTTAGGAGGATTTCGCAATATGTCTTGCTAATTTCAAGATCGTCTTCTTTATTTGGTAAATTGTAAAATTCTTTTTGTTCATGCATTCCAAGCAAGCATCCAGTCTTCTGATTGCTAAAGATCTGCTACAGACAGACTGGGCTAATTTTCGAGATCGCGTATCATTTAGTCTCATGAATCATTGAGTTTTAAGAATATTGGGTTGGGTCATCTCGTGTGGTGGTTATAGTCCACACACATATGTGATGGAGACTTTGTTAACTTGTACTTTTGCAGTCGATGGGAGTTTATAGTTCTTCTTTTTTTCTTTTTGTGCAGCGAGCTTTACCATATATATATATATATATATATATATATATATATATATATATATATATATATATATATATATATATTTTGCACGGGTTTAAAGCTTTATAGGCTTCATGGCGAGGATTAAACCTCAAGCTCTGTTACAGCAAAGCAAGAAGAAGAAAGCACCCAGAAGTATCAGTATCCCCACAATTGCATTGTACAGCGTAGTGACTGTTTTTATGGTGTTTTTCCTGTTTGTTGACAAGAAATGTTTTTTTTTCATTTGAATGTTTAAAAAGGAAGCCAAAACTTTCTTTTTCTTGTATGTATTTATGCCACAGTTAGTCCATGAACTCATGTAAAACGCTTGGTCCATAAGGGCTATCACCTGAGGATTGGATACAAGTTCCACTAGCACTAAACAATTAGTTACTTCCTTAAATCCTTAAATGGATGTATGGGCAACTGATATATATATATATATATATATATATATATATATATATATATATATATATGTGTGTGTGTGTGTTCTTGGTCCTAAAGCATGGATTTTTCTTCTTCTGTTTTATAAATTACCATCATCACTCAATCATGGTGAGGAAACATGAACTTGTATAACATCTTACCTTATTTGATCATGGCTTGCATCCAGACATTGCAAGAGCAAGAACTAGGTGTAGGTCATGCATCTAAAAACACCTAACTATTGATGTGCATGCTATTTTTAGGTCAGTAATGCAGACAGAGGAAGGAACATCAAACTTTCAGGTACAACAGTTTTGTTATTCTTTCTTCTTCCCCCAAACCTTTGCTTATTTCCAGTAGTAGTTGAGTAGTATGATTATTGAATGCCCTTATATGGGAAAGTGATTATATAGAGAAGGTAGGACAAATGGAGAGATGGAGTAATGCTACAACTTTATTATGGAACCAAACCAACAATGGAATGGAATGGAATGAGAAAAGGGTTGCACGTTTCTTATGGGATTGATTGCTACAGAAAACCATTTTCTTATTTATTTATTTATTTTCCCACAAAGCAATCGGATGATTTCTTGTTACTAGTTATATTGTCCAATTTAGTTTATTTAATCAATTACAGGTCGAAGATGACTTTTCAGATTCAAAGAAATCAGATGTACCTAGATATGCTGTTTCATTTGTCAGCAGAAATGAAACACGTCAAAAGGTTGAAAGTTCCATGGAGTTATTTTTAAAGCATACAAGCTCTTAAATCCTTTATTAAAAAATAGATTATTATTGTATAATCATATGGTAGCAGTCTCTGTACCCTGTACCTTGGGGTGGAGGTCCGATTGTCTATATCTTACCCCATTCCTATATATGGGATTTGGGTATTGTTGTTGTTGAATCATATTTAACACACACTAACACTAATATAAAATAAAAAAAATTGTAGGTTGTTGGTTGCTACATAAAAAAGATCCATAATTGTTGCTTGTAATATCCATTTGGGTTTGTTTGATACTTTATTGTTTGTGTGTCCATATTTTTAACACTTCTAAAGGTTTGATTACGGTGGAACTTTACAAGGAAGGTTCACCTGAAGTTGTGGATGAATTTATCGATGCGTGGTCAGTATCCATGTCTTTCATTGTTTTGTTTTGTGGTGGTAGTTGATGTTTTTGGAATGTGTGGTTGCATTCATAAGTGACATTTTAAAGGGATGATGTTTCAACGTGTGGTGAAACATTTTGTAATCTAAGGAGGTGACTCTGAGAATCATGCAGTTATAGAGGACTGGACTTCCAGAGAGAAGCACTACAATCAGCTGGAGAAAAGGTTGATCTCTAAATTCATTTTGTAACTTGTAATATCATTCACTCTTCAATCTTCATCATCATTTAATAATAATTAACAATCCATGCACATCCATATCCATCCAGATTAAAGCATGAAGCCTTTATGCTTGGCACGTCCAACATGAAACACGAGAAAGAAGGATTTGATATTTTCATTACAACCGCACCGATTCCAGATCTGAATGCAAAGCTTAACGTATTTGGACGCGTCATCAAAGGAGAAGATATTGTTCAGGTAAATAATAATTAATACAGACACACATACACACACACATGTATGTATATATGTACAAAATTATCCTGGAAATTTGAGAGATTTTAATTGTGTTCCAGGAAATCGAGGAAGTGGACACAGACGAACATTACAGACCTAAATCTCGAATCGGGATCATTGACGTGACACTGAAATAGAAGATTTAAGGTCCCAGATCCCATAAAATTGTTTGCTGATTTTTTTTTTTTGGAAAGGGTGGGTGGGTGGGGGGCATCATCATCATCATCATTGCTTGTGTATGTTAGTTACAAGATTCGTTTGGTTGGTTTTATCAAATAGAGTTGTTGTTGTTAGTTGTTACTTTTAGGTCAGGTTTGTTGACTTATGGATCGGATTCCTAAATTTTCTTTCTTCCAAAATGGATTCTATGCATACATATACAGATATGTTATTTTTGTTTGATATGACTACATACCACAACCTTCTCTTTCTTTCATGCCTCAGCCTCAGCCTCACATCTACTTACTACATCCACCACACTTGTTTTGCAATTTAATAAACATTTGGTAATATCAACCTGTTTTGCTTTGCTTTGCTTTGGCTACCATCATTATTGGCAATGATTTTCTATTTCTTTTGTTGTCCATAATACCACAAACTTTATTCCTTGGTGTTTAAACCACACAACTCTTGAATTGTGGAATCTTATTGCTTGCTCCCGACCTGCACCAACCGATGGGGTCCCACTCAACACACATATACAAAAATACACACACACACAGGTGTCAATGCACAGGTACTTTTACTATCTGTCTTTTTCATGCATGTAGAAAAAACGATGAGCTAAGAAAGGATGATGTTGATGCACTCTGTTGTTTGGCACATGCACATGGGGAGGACTTTACCATTTTCATCCCATCAATTCACAAACTTCTCATAAAGCATCGCTTGCGGGTTTGTATTTTGTAATCATTACTTAATTTCTTACAAAAAAATCGTGTGTTACATTCTAGAAATATATAAATGTTTGACATAAATTTCACTTTCAGCACAAGGAATTTGATGAGATTGAGGGGCGATTACAAAGGTGTAGACCTTTAATTGTTGCCAGTGTAGCAGCACAAAAGTCAATCCGACAGCCTCATGTGGAGGTTATTAGTGATCCTTTGAGTGATATGGAGAATGATCCTTATGAAGATGTTCACAAACAACCCAAAGTTTATCAGGTATTAAAAAATATATATTATTTAAAAACGAAATTTTATAACTTAATCATGGTTAATGATGCTAGATTGCGTGCTGCTGGAGAAGCTTCTCAACGTAGCACTAAAGAAGATTGGGTGGATGAGACATTTCAACATTGAATTACTTAAGGAATCACCTTCTCCAGCTATAAGAACATGTGCCAGGCTGGCACAGTTACAGGTGTCATTTTTAAAATTTGATATCTTTTATAAATTCGATTGTAACCCTAGTTTGTTTTTGTAGCCATTTTTTGGACGAGAGCTGTTTGCAACAGGATTTGTTAGCTGTTGTTCACAACTCTGTGAGTCTAGTCAAAAAGCCCTTGTTCGTAGTTTAGAGATGGCATTTTCTTCCCCTAATATACCCCCTGAAATTCTTGCGACATTACTTAACTTGGTATGGCTAAAAAACAGTTGCTTATAAGTTATAAGTTATCTACACTATGTGCTTCTAATGATTTCATATTATCAATTTGCAACATGTATTTTACAGGCGGAATTCATGGAACATGATGAGAAACCCCTTCCCATTTACATTCGTCTACGTGAAAATATACTGACAAAAAATAAATTACATGACATGATATGTTGGTTGAGTAGCTTTACGGGTTCTAATGGGTGGTGTTAGATGGAATTGTGATGATATACTCTCTAGTTTATAGGATCAAGGATTGTCATTGTGATTGTCATTGTTGATAGCTTTACAGGTAATATTTACCATTTGTGTGGGGGTATTCTTGTCATTGTGTTTGTCATTGTTGATATCAGGTAATTCATATTGTAGTGTATTTATTCCAAATCCCACATTCTTTGGATGGAGAAAAGGGTAATTTCGACTTTTACAACTAACATTCCATGTTTGATTCTTCTAATAATTATATTAGCATATTAATTTTTTGACTTTTATTTGATCAGGTCACAAGAATTATCGGAGCAGGGGTTCAATATTAGTCTTAAAGAATTATGAAAGGCAAGATGCAACTCTACTTAGTTGGAATTTGATGTTTATCATCTTTGTGTATATCTTTTTAGTTTGTATAGCATTACATTGCAGAAGGTGTCCCTTAATAGCAATGTAGTATTATGTTATATAGTTAGGGAAAACCTCTTAATAACAATGTACAAATAGATCCCCTTAATATCAATGTATTACAATTTTTTGACATGATGTAATTGGATGAAATTGATTGTTTTGGTATATATTTGTTTACATATTTTTGTATTATGCGTAAATGAGTATCGTAAAGACGCGTCGTAAATGCATATCGTAAATGGTTACTGAAGTTTATGACACGCAAATGCGTGTCATCTTCATTTATGACAGGGGCTTCCTTGATACGCATTGCGTGTCATAAACACACGCGTCGTAAGGTTACGACACGCAAATGTGTGTCGTCTTCCTTTATGACAGGGCCTTCCTTGATACGCATTGCGTGTCATAACTGCGCGTCGTAAATGCGTGTCATAAATGCGCGTCGTAAATAGACGACGTGCAAAAGCGTGTCGTGTGTCTTTATGACAGGGCCTTCCTTGACACGCATTTCCGCATCGTCTGAGCATTTTACGACATGCATTGCGCGTCGTAAAAGGCTATTTTTGTAGTAGTGTGCGCACCCCGACCCAACCTCGCATCTACGCTACGTGTTCCTCCCAGCTACGCCCAACGTATTTCCTTCTCTTCGGTACGCCCTGCGTACCACCTTTGTACACCCCGCCTACTAGGGCTTTTCCCAAAACCCTAATTCTCCCAAAGGCTATAACCCACTCGATACAACTCAAATTCCAACCATTCATATATCCATAGAAAGGTATCGAGACGCTCAGCCCTATTATCAATTCCTGCCTACCATAACATATCTCGAACAAACATCTATTTTCCATAAAAGTCTGAGCTAATAATTACCGAAATACCATTTGATCCAATAACTCAAACTGAATACCCGAGCAATCCAAGGTACATTATCCAACTCCAACTGGGTCCGAAACCCAACCCCTCGGGTATTCGTAGCTTGATAGCACTTAATCCTTTGACCACCAATTCCAAATGGGAACAATTCGAAACAGTATGTTAGATGAAAGGGAGAATGAGATATCAGATCGGAAGGAGAAGTTAAAAGAAAAAAATGTGTAAAAGAAAATCTCTTCATCTGTTAGTGTTCAAATAGAAAATGTACCTGAAGAGAGTTCATCATCAAGAAACCCTTGTTTTTATGCTGATGAACATCAAGGTAGCTCTTGCACTGACAACCCTCACGTTGATAAGCTTCATGTTGAGAAACCACAAGCTGCTCATATTCAAAAAGATTCATCTTACGCTGTCAAGAAGTCTCGAACTTCACACACTGACAAATCAGTTCGCACTGATAAGTTTGTTGAAGCTGACAAGACTTTTGGCACTGCCAAGCTATCTGAAGTTGTGAAGACTTCATCTTATCATGTGAAGACTCAAGCTCCATCTTCAACTCCGAATATCAGTAGATCTCATGTTGGTAAGCTTTCTGATGTATGCTCTTGTTTTAATAAAAAAAATTTCATGACAAAACAATCAAAGGAAAGAAAGCGGAGGACTCAAACAAAGAAGATGTGGGTTCCAAAAGAGCCACCTCCAGAACCAATAAAGATGAAACAAGTTTGGGTTCCCAAGAGTACATCACATGTACCTCAAACAAAGCCAGTAAATGGAGTTAGAAAGAAACATTGGAGTCAAAAGTCTCCTGGAAAGAAAAAGAGTGTTCTGAAACCTCAAGTTGGTTATTCTTTATCCGGTCAAATTTCTTCAAAAGTGAGGTATTTTCCAAAACCCATTCTCAAATGGGTTCCTAAAGTTGTTTGTTAATTTGTGACGATGTGAGAGAGTGTAAAATTTTAAAAGTCTGTATTAGTTGTCTCTATCACTAAAGAAAGGTGTGATTTTAATTAAATTTCACTTAAGATAAATTCTCTTTTGTTAAATTTATTTTGTCTTTTAGGTTTATTTTATTTATTTAACAAAAAAAAAGGTTGTGTAGGAGCATCAGTTTTTGCTTGCTCCAAGAAGTCGATCAAAGGGGCTTTTGGTCACTCTTTCCTTCTGTCACTCAATGAAGAAAAGCAAGGTTATATCAGTCTTTTTCATGTAAAAGTGAAGCTTGTCATGTATGTGCAGATCTCCAAAGAAAAGTTTTATTTTTTCAAGAAAGGAAAAAGCATCACATCGTTTTTCTAAAAGATGCTACTCCTTTGGGAAAATTGTCATAAAGGGTACAAATTCAACCATGTGTTTAGTGATTACCAAGAATGGGTGAAGAAGACAAAATGGGTCTATATCTCTCCCCACATGAGGTATCTGTCACACCCCGTTAAAGCGGAAAAATAAAGGGCGACAGGCTAAGGTCTCACAACACAAGGTAAATAGGATTACCAACCATAGTCATTGAGCATTTTATGTTTAAATCATATTCGAAACAATATTACATTTTAGTTCCATACTACATAGTCAAGTAAATACCAAGAGCAATAAACATAAATCATTTTGGCGTCTTAAACTAGATCACTGACCGTTTCCTGAAAAGCATGCAAAAACGAGGGTTAACTATAAAATAGTTGGTGAGTTCACATGTTTATAAAGGTACATCATTTTAGTAAGAAAATATATATTTGTCAACAAAAATTCCAACTCAAAATGAGTGTTGAATGCCAAAGCACTCCGTTCACAACCAAGCCTAACGACCGTTCTTTCCCCATTCCATTATGTCCATGGTTCCCATGATGTTAGTTCAGGGAAATATGCACTCGCGGTTCTCGGCGAGTGGGGGCCGTCTATCCCAAAGTTCATAACAATTTCATATCAAAAAGTTCATATCAAAAAGTTCATATCAATAGTTCATAGCATAAAGTTCATAACACATGTTCATAACAAAAAGTTCATAAAAGAGTATCGTTCCAAGTTCATCAAGTTCATAAAACAAGGCTCAACAAATTCACAAAATAGAGTTCAACAAGTTGATGAAAGAAAGTTCCACAAGTTCATAAAATAGTACGGATAACTCATAAAATAGTACAATGCTTTCCGCCCCAAAACATGAAAACAATAAAAAGGGGGTTGTGAATACTCATTAAGGAGAGTTTGTGGTTCGAGTTTTGCTGTTCGGTGTTGTAGAGATCGATTTCTACTAGTGCCCTATGGAAAAAATAGTTTATAGTGAGATACAATTCACTAAACCATTATCTAAGATCTACTTGTCCAACTAGTCGTGTCGCAAAGTGCCCACAGTTCGTTCGGTTCATTATTAGTATTGTTGAATCCATGGTGCCTTGTGTTCAAAAATTCAAAATGGCATGAAAATGAACTCCAAAAACTATAAAACTTTACTTTCTGGTTCTAACAGAGGGTATTAGTGTCCAGAAATTTTATAGAGAATTTTGAAGGTGATTTGTTATTTATTTGCAATTTAAGTCTAAATAATAGAAAAAATTCAAAGTAAATAGCAAACAATTGCAAAAATTCCCAAATTAATTTTTACATGTTCTAATTATCTTACAAAAGTTGGGAAAAATCTTCATTCAAGCCCTTCAGTCATATAACCTGGTTTTGTAAATTCATGTTCTAATTTAATGAAAAATCTGAATAAAATACCAAAAAGTGACCAAATTGTATAAAAATTTATATGCTATCCTTATTTTGTTAATACATCAGTTTTACAGATTTTTAGATTTTTAACGTATCTGTAAAGAATTTTTTTAAATTTATGGCCATTAAATTCTTATTTTTATAGAAAAATAAGGATTTTGTTTAAGCACTCGGGGTTTCACAGAACATCTCTTAAGTACATGAATTTTCTTAAAACAATTTGGTTCAAAATAATTTAAGAGCTAAATGGGATATTTAACCCCCGTCAAGTTTTGAAGTATGGCATTATATGGTGCATGAGTTCCAAATGTAGCTGAAAGTTCAACAATTTGTGTAGAAACTTCTATAACGTTTTAGTTCATGAAATTTTAGTTCTTCTGAGAAAAATGTGTCAAGTTCCTAAAATAATTTTCTATGGATTTGTTGTGGGGTTTAAGGCCTTTGATCATGTAATGAAAAACTAGTGATCATAGAAAAAGTGTTGTTTGCGCAACTGTTTTGTAAAAATCGCCAAAAATCAAATTCTTAATGTTTTACAGTAAGGCCACTTAGATTCGAAAGTTAGCTCAAGAAATGAGTGAGTTATGACCTTTTAAATTCGAGTAACCAAATCTGACAGAATGTTTAAGAGTAAAACTCATGAAAACTTAGTTCAAACTTCTATTTTACCTAATGATATCGGTTTCTTTTTGCTTAGATTGAGATAGAAAAACATTATATTAAAGATATTATATAGAAATACTTGTTTCTAACCATTTGATCTTACATGAAACCAAGCTATATGAGACTAAAGTTTTGAAAAATCGGTTTTTGGTGATAGATAAGGCTTGCATGTTTTCACCTTTGCTCTCGAATTTGTTTTGATCATGGATCATCACTATTTACAGAACATGCAACATGGTTTTGGTGGTGATCTACAAACATCAAGATCAAACGAAGGTTCTTGGCAAGAACATGCCTTAGAAATTAAAAATAGAAGGAGAGAAAATGACTAAAACTTGTAGAAATTCATTATGGGTCTTCAAGAGATGTATGATAATCACTTAACCTTTTATGTGAAGCTTCAAAAATACCCAAAATATGGCTGAAAGTTCATGGTTGAGGGGATGATTTCTAGAGAGAGAAAATGAGGTTTCTAGAGAGAAAAGAGGAAAAGTGAGATTTTGTCTCTCTGGATAGACCATCTCTCTCGTCATCTCTTTGGGGGTATATGTTGGATAAGGTGTCTAAGTCCATAACTATTTCTGGTATGTACTTGACCCGACCCGGCATGGTCCATTTGGGTTGCATGGCACCATGCAATTGGATAAACTAAAATGAGAGAAATAACACTTATAGTTTA